CATTCCTCTTCACTGTGTGTGTGTGTGTTTGTGTGTGTGTGTAAATGCTGTGGACTGTGCTGCTCCTCTTGTTGACAGGCACCGTTCTACCCAGCCATGCACCGCATGTGGGGCAGGTGGGCACCGCAGGCCGACGTGGGCGCCTTGTCATCACTGTCCTACTCGGGTAGGTGTGCGTGTGTGTGTGTGTGTGTGTGTGTGTGTGTGTGTGTGTGTGTGTGTGTGTGTGTGTGTGTGCTCATGGCTGAGTGTAATCGATGTGTGTGTGTGTGGGGGGGGGGGGGGGGGGGGGGGCATGCATGGGTGTTCATGGGTGGGTGTTGGTGTTCATCAGTATTCATGGATGAGTGTGTTCATGTTGGGATAGTGTTTTTCTCCCTCATCATCTTTGCCTCCCCAACCAATGTCAGGCAACCACTTCTTGATTGGTCTCCTGGGGGTGGAAACTTTCTTTGCACAAACTGGGAGTCAAACAGGCAACTCATATTCGGAAGGCCACTGCTTTAATTGCGCTAACCACACTCCCGTCATGTTGTGTAGACCTGGCTAGATTGTGGTGGTGAATTCTTCAACCTAGCCCGTAGTTATCGAGTATCGCAATCCCAACCCAAAGGTACTGTGGCTTCTGCTGCAGTGTCACGTTCATTGCCTTTGGTGATAGGCGGCTAAGGCTGTGTGTGGGTGGGTGCATATAAGCAGTGAGGTAGGGGTGTCTGGGGTGGGATTTTGCTGGAATGTTTTTTCCAACGTTGGTGCGTGTGTGTGCGTGCGCGCGTGCGTGTGTGTGCGTGCGTGCGTGGATGTGTGGGTGTGTGTGTGTGTGCGCGTGCGTGTGTGTGTGTGTGCGTGGTATTGTCTTGCAGGTCCGTACATTGGCAATATTCTCAGCTATCTCTTAGGAGGGTTTCTCAGCGAGAGCGGCTTTGGTGCATCCAGCGGGCAAACTTACTGTGGTGCTAACTGGCCATCTATATTTTACGTTTTTGGTGAGTCTGACTGACAAATACTGACGAATCGATCGGCTTCCCCAAATAGTTTGAGATGCATATCGAATGTTTGCGCACTGTGTCCTCTCCCGGGTTTATTTGCCTCTCTGCCCGTGGCCCTCTAACCCGCTTTTGATATTGTATAAATTATGTTCATAGTGTATTGAATTAGCAAACTCCATTCTCGGCGCGGTTGCCTCTTGTAGCAGGTATCGGATTTCACTTTCTACAGCCGTGTCTGTTGACATTCAGTCCTTGTAGCATGAGGGATGGGGTTATTTTACGTGCACAATTATTGAGTCAGTTTGCCATATCCAACGTACTCAGCGTGTATACTGGACACCACTGAACGAGCTTTAATACGCACCCCTAGCCTTGTCTGTATCTATTTTCCTGTACCAAAACTTCACTCTTACACATCATCTGTTCTGTGTGCATTCCCGTGGCATCTGCGGCTTGTTCTCAGGTGCTGGCGCTCTGGCGTGGACCGTTATCTGGATGTTCCTGGCATTTGAGACACCTGACGTTCATCCACGTATCTCTCATGCTGAACGTACGTACATCATCAAGAATCTTGCACATGACAATGCTGATCCAGAAGATCGAATTGAGGACAAGGTGGGTGACGTAGCTCTTATGCCCGGGCCCACTTTTTGCCGAAGCATTTGGAAGTTGGACTAGTTTCGGCTGCACAATCCAGGTCCTTGCCACTACTGTACCATATTATAGCTTTCATGACTGAGGTTGTACGTCTAGTGGCGCTGGGTTCCCCGTAATGGGGTGCTGAGGTTGAAATCTGTGACTGTACATCCAGTGTGTTTGCAGACTTGCGTGCTCCTGTTGCGATGAGAGTGCATGGTATCCTGAGACTATCCTCAGTAGGCACTTCAGCCGATACGGTGCTACCTTATGGACAGCATTCAGAGTGTCTCCTGCTCATACTATTCTTTCGTTTTTATTTTGCTTCTTTCTTCGTCCTCTGTGCAGCCCTATAGTTTCCTGGACTTGTTCCCAATCGTGGCATGCCTGCCGCGACGCTACGTTCAGAACTGCCGCATCCCATGGCGTGCCATAGTGACGTCTAAACCCGTGTGGGCGCTGTGCTTCAGCCTGTTCACGTTCGACTACGGCATGTACACCCTGATGACCAACGTGCCAAAGTACTTGAACGAGGTGGAGAACTTTGACGTGGCGTCGGTAAGACTGAGCTGCTGTGCTGATATTGACCGATTTCCAGAACGTACATGGTCTGAAATGCCATGTCAGTACGGCCTGGTGGTTTGCTTTTCTGCATTGCATCATCTCTGTACCACAACCCAGTTAGTATCTCTGCACCATACATGTTGACAGTCGTTCTGTTGTGGGGAATGGAACGGTTGGGCTGTAGGCTTCCACCCGAGAGCCGTAAGATGTAGGGAAGTGACACGGATCATAGTGCATGAAACGATGTGTGTTCGTCCCTGGGTTTGGGAGTCCTGCTTGTTCCGTGCGACATGTGGTCGCGATGAAGGCCTTGACCTGCTGGGCCTAAACAATTTACGATTGGCATCATACTCAATTCCGCATCCGTAGTTGACCCTAAACGCGTTCATGAATCGGCCCTGCCCCAAGGGCGACTGGATCGGGTAGCCCGGGCGTGGAGCCCACATCTTTTCACACTGCACGCGCCGTTGTCTTCATAGATGCTACTTCTCTCTGGAATTGCTGTAATTGTGTGTGTCTGTGTACATGTGTGTGTGTGTGCACCCGTGTGTGCGTTTGCATGCGCGTGTGGCTTGTATTTTCACGTGTGACATGGTGAAGAGTGGAATCTTTTCGGCACTGCCATTCCTGTGTATGTGGATTTTCACCTTATTGGCTGGAGCCGTAAATGGGCTGTCCATAGTGCAGAACAACCTCTCATTCAACGTACAGCGAAAGTCACTAACATTGATTGGTAAGGCGTTTGTGTATTGGCATCATTTACTTGCTGCTGCTGCTGCTGCTGCTGCTGTGGTTCTGTTTCTGTGTATATGTACATCCATGTAGGTGTTGGGTGTGTTGTGCAGGCCCGCCGGTATATTGTAACCTGGTTCGTGTGGTTCAGGGACGTGTGTTTAACCCCCTGTTCTAAATGCTTGTGTTTGTTATTGCTAATGTTACTGCATTCACTTGTGTGTGTGTTTGTGTAGGTCTGTGAGTCTGTAATACAATATTTGCTTGCACCTTTGTGTGTTCATACTTGAAGTACATGGCTATTAAAATAATAACCGACTAGCATGGTTAATAACCTTTTTTTCATACTTGCAATGGCTATTTACCTCGTATGGTTCTTCACTTTCTGTATCACGCTTGTCTGTGTCTCTTGCTCAGGTACTATCTTCCCGGCAGGTTTTCTCATCCTTGCCGGCTACTCAACATCACGCACAAGTGCAGTGGCGTACATCACAGCCTCGGCCGGCATCAGCGGTGTTCAGATGATTGGTGCTGGAATCAATCAAATTGACTTGGCGCCACGCTATGCCGATGTCCTCATGGGCTTTTCAAACCTCTTTGCCAGCATGGGTGGAATCCTGGCGCCGTATTTCGCCGCTGTGTTGACGGTAAGTGCTGAGCTGAGCTTGTGCTAATTAAGATGTGGATCGTCATGCATGATGGCGGCGGGCATGGCGGTGCTGATCCATGCCCGCTCGCGTAGCCCTCGGCATTCGGCCTACGATGCACGACCAAGTTCTACGCATGCGGCCATTACTGTCAGTCATCATGCACCAGGGATAAATTTATTGTCATATTTTTGCATAACAGTTTCTGCTATACAAAATCACAGTCTTTGATTTTGATTAGCATTTTTCTTTGAAGGTTGGGTGTTTGCCACATTGTCCTTCTTGAGAGTGATGCCTGAAAGCCCATATGCAAAAAACGGACTGAATCATGCATGTGCACGCAGATTGAGTGCCTGCACCACATACACTGCACTGTATGCATGTTACTTGACAGCGCAGGCTAGGCATGGACAGTCTGTATGTATCGCAATTTTCTGCTAGTCACGGTGACTTTTGAGTAGCAGTAGATCAATTTTGCATCGCAAACTGCGATGCGATACAGGATAAATTCATCCCTGATGCACAGTATACCGTGGATACATTGTAGGTCCTGCATGCCCCGTGCCTAGTGTAGACAAGTATGGTAATTATGGTAAAGAGCATCAGCTGTGTATGAAATCGAGCAAGATCAGATCGAGCTTTCTTCGAGGAGTATTTTCCCTTCGTTGTATAGTATATTTGTACTCCCAGTGTGCCGGGTCACTGCCGTTACTGGCAGCGTACGGTGTATGTCTGCCCTGGGGTCATTCCTAATGGATATGGGTACGGTGCTTCTCTGATTGGTCAAATATTAGCAACGGCCTAGCAACAGGCACGTGACATGGATGAATTATGATTTGTTTGCCAGTTGGTATGTTATTAAACCTGTCCTGTGCTGTGCTGTGCTCTCCTGACATGTGCTGTACTGTGCTGTGCTGTGCTGTGCTGTACTGTACTGTACTGTGCTGTGCTCTCCTGGCCTGTGCTCTGCTGTGTTGTCCTGACCTGTTACTTTTAAACGTCTGTATCCTCTGTCTCTGCAGCCTAATCACACGGCCGCCGAATGGCGACTTGTGTTCTTCATCACGTCCGGCATGTTTGTTGCCGGCGCAGTGGGCTTTGCTATCTTCGGCTCGGCAGAACACCAATGGTGGGCACTCGGGGACACGCAGAAGAGGCCAGGCGGTGCCAGTGGCGCACACTCTAGACTCTCCAGCAAGAACCATCGCAATTCTGAGTCACCGTTGCTCGATCCAGCTGATAGTGGTGCCGAGACCGTCCAGTACTCAGTGTAGCACAGGACAGTGTGTTGCTGACGCGTGGGTGTAGCTTACGTATAGACTGACTGAACTACAGGAGCATGCGTTCCTAATGCGTCTGTGTAGCTCACATATACACTCAACCACAGGATGGTGTGTAGCACTGCAGTGTCATCCACACATAATTGTGGACACTGGTCACCTAGTTTACTCCTATACCTATTATTTGTCTATTACTACACAATCTCCCTGGATGGAGTCCTTGTGTCGTTGTCTTTACTCCTGTATTTTTGTTAATCCTGCATCGGCTTTATGTTTTTACCAGTTTGTTTGGCGCGTGCACACCTTCACGTGGATTACATCAAAGTGTTTTCTGCATTGTAGTTTTACTTCAGACACCTCTCCTCCTCACCCCCCACCCCACCTCCGGATTTAGATTTAGATCACTGGAATCATCTATGCCCCTACATTTCTTGGTTGGGCACTCAACTCAGTATGGAGGCAACTTTTCTTTTTTTTTAGGAATCACCACTGCTGTTGGTCATCAACTTGGCCACTCGGTTATTGCACATGCTGTTGATTTTTTATTCCCTCTCATACTCGGTTTCTTGATTACAGCGTATTTCTAAATATCAGTTCCTATATCATCATCTTTGATTTCCAGCTGACCAGGCGATTTCTGGACATATTTCTTATACTTTTGACAACCTCTTGTTGTGCCCTTCTCTTCCCTCTCCGTAGATGGGAAACTGGTCGTACCGGGTGCTTTTTATTTGTGAAGAGTCGTCGACACCAGTATACTAATAACCTGTAATATGTATGATTTGTTAACTAATTTAGTGATTACAGTTGACAGCAATACATCCCTGGGAAGGGCCATCCGTTGTTATTGTTGTTTCCAAAAAACAGAATCCTTTGTTTGCGGGTGGGTGGGTCCAGCTGGACCAGTCTTGCTTGAAGTGAGTGAAAATATCGATATGTGGAAAGAAAGTGATGCTCGATTGTATAAGTCGCACCCCCTTTTTTACCTGTGATTTGGGTGTAAAAAGGTGTGACTGATATCCGGGGAAATATGGTACAGTCAGACCTCGCTTATCCGGTCCTCTTTTATCCGGATCCCTCGCCAACCGGAAGAAAATCGTTGGTTACCGATTTACAGCATAAGTATGCCATGCATACATACAGTATGTGTGTTCGAGTATCCGGTTCCCTCGCTTATCAGGTTTGACTGTAGTAGTATTTCCCCTCAGCCTAAACTCGCGAGGGTGCTCGGTAGACTGCATGAGGTGCCTGTAACTAGTTAACTTCGTGGCCCGCGGATTAGGCAAAGCCCGATTTTGCCAGGGAAGCTTCGATATTTTATTATTATTATGACCAAGAGTGCATAAAAATGTTTATGGACTCTTATCATGACGGATAACCCAAACGGGCCAAAGGCAATGGTACCTAAATCCTAAAAGGGGGTGTCTCCGGACCAAACACAGTACAGAGCAAGGAGCTCAGCCAGCAGAAAACGTCAGAAAACAAACAAACAAAAACATGAAGCCTCGGATGTCAGCCAGTACTTGCAGGGTGCACTGGACAACAGCAGCACATGCACACGCGACGGGAAAGAGAATATGAAGCCTCGGATGTCAGAGAAGAACGTGCAGGAGTGCGCCGGACAACAGCAGCACATTCACACGCGACGGGAAAAAGAAAGAAAAACACAGTTTAAAATCCAGGGATCCCAGCAATGTCGTAACAGTACTGAGAGAAATGACGCTTTTTAAAAGTCTCTTTTGAATGTATGCGCATGTGCAATCTCACGCAAGTCCTTTGGCGAATTGTTCCATACAGCTAGGGAATGAGAGAGAACATGGCGGCTTCGATATGGACCTTGAGCAGAAGCAAATAAGAGATAGAATGGGCGACGGGCACTAGAGCTAAGAGAGAAGTGACATGCACGAAGAAGGTGTGGATGAAACTTTATAACGTTAAAAACCAGACAGAGGGCTCCAATGTGTCTGCGCCAACTGAGGGATTCCAAACCGGCTGCACGAAAGGGCTCGGATTTGGAAGTGCTCCACTCAGCTGCGCAGCCTTTCCGGTACAGCTATCGTCTAGCGACCATTGCCTGAAGGCGGTCCAGTGACCCAATATCTCGTGCAGGTACGCCACAGAACCAAAGCTGGCTAGTGTATTCCGCCACAGGCCGAACATATCCGCGGTTTAAAGCGCCAATATGGCGGCAGGCGGTAAACGAGAGGCCATGTGGCACAGCAGAACAATGCGTTGGCGAAATTTCGTTATCATTTGAAGGAAATGTGGCTGCCAGGACATGTTGTGAGCCAAGATGACTCCGAGGTGGCGGTGCTCGTTGAGTGTTGGGATGTTACTGTTATTTAAAAGGGAGAAGGTGTAGGCCATATAATTATAAGGAGGAGGGTCCTTTGAGGAGGAGAAAACCACATGTGCTGACTTCACAGCATTGTAATCTCCCCCCACGGAGAGAGCCCAAGATCCACACGCGTCCAGGTCTTCTTGTACTTCGGATGACGATGTGTTACCTAATGCTGTATCGTCGGCAAAGAGATACAGATCTGATTGCACTAACGAAGGCAGGGTGTTGATATATGAGGAATAAGGTTGGACCCAAGTGAGAGCCTTGTGGGACCCCAGCAGAGAGAAGACGGGGGTCACTAAGTGAGTCACTAACTCGAACCTGAATGCGTCTGTCCGTCAAGTAGTCTTCAAACCAGCGGGTGGTCGAGGTGTTGGCAAACGAGGTGAGTTTTGTGATAAGATCGTGATGAGAAACTCTGTCAAACGCTTTCGCGAAATCCAAGAATATCATGTTGTATGTACAACGCCGGTCCAATGCAGAGTATATATTGTGTGTTAAAGGGGAAGTTAAGGCAGAAATCAAAATTTCACCAGTAAAGTCTGTTGTAGTCTTCGGGGTGCTGAGTCGAATGGTCTTGGTCCGAGAAAGCTGAGACGCTCCCTTCCTACTTGAATCCCAATCGAACTCGCGCACTTCCACCGAAACTGGGTGACTGCGCCCTACTAGATGGGGATTTGTATGCAAAATGTCACTAAAAGCGCCATTTCGTTCTTATAAAAGTACGGATGACCGCCATTGGCCCATATGTTGTAGTCTTTTGGACGCTGGTTTTTGGGCCGAAAAGGCTGCGATGCAGCGTTCCTCCTTTATTCCCAATCGAACGTGGTTGAACAAGCGGTCACGTGCTCCTGCTTACACCAGTCACCTGGTCACCGTGCCTGCAGGTTACAACTTACTAGCCTGTTTGACCTTTTTTGGGTGCAGTCCTGTCACTCGAGTTGAAAGTTGTCAAAAAAGTATTCTTTCTAGACCAAAGAGTGGTATATTTGATAAAATTTAATCACGATAGAAATATTTACGATACTTACGATACTTCTCCAGACGTTTCGTTGTTCTGAACAACATCGTCAGTGGATAAAGAGTCGTCTTTATCAGTCGTCTTTATCCACTGACGATGTTGTTCAGAACAACGAAACGTCTGAAGAAGTATCGTAAGTATCGTAAATATTTCTATCGTTATTAAATTTTATCAAATATACCACTCTTTGGTCTAGAAAGAATACTTTTTTGATATTACAATGAGAGCCTATCAACGGCTTGTCCACCACCTCTCTGAAAGTTGTCGCCTGCTGGCGTGGTGACCAGGTGATTTGGGCACCCAGGAGCACGTGACCACTTGTTCAACCATGTTCGATTGGGAATAAAGGAGGAACGCTGCATCGCAGCCTTTTAGGACCAAAACCAGTCGACTTAGCGTCCAAAAGACTACAACCATGATATGGGCCAATCGCGGTCATCCGTGCTTTTATAAGAACGAAATGGCGCTTTTAGTGACATTTTCCATACAAATCCCCATCTATGTAGTAGGGCGCAGTCACCCAGTTTCGGTGGAAGTGCGCGAATTCGATTGGGATTCAAGTAGGAAGGGAGCGTCTCAGCTTTCTCGGACCACGACCATTCGACTCAGCACCCCGAAGACTACAACTGGTGAAATTTTGATTTTTGCCTTAACTTCCCCTTTAATACAAGGAGTTGATCAATTGCGGACCGTTTAGGAACAAATCCGAATTGTGTCTGGCTGAGGATATTATTGTCCGTCAAGAAACGAACGAGTTGTCGGTTTACCAGCTTGTCAAAAAGTTTCCCAATACTGGACAGGTTAGAAATTGGACGATAACCTTCAGCTGTGTGCGATGTTTTTTTGGTTTGAGGAGTGGTGTGATGACGGCAGTTTTCCATTGACCAGGGAAGGAGCTTGTCCGAATGCAAATATTGAAGAGGGTTGCCAAAGAATCACAGATTACCGAGGCGGTCTCCCGCAGAAGAGTGTAAGGCTACGTTCGTTTTTAGCTACCTGGTAGAGTAGAGTAGAGTCACTCTACCGATAGAGGTAGATGGTAGAGGCAAGTGTACGAACGCTGTTCTACCAGATCATAGTTTACACGATGTGTACGTGAACTGTTTCCTTTTTTTATGGAGTTGTGTACAAATCCTTGATCTTGCTGGAAATCCCGTAGCTCTACCAACTTCTACCGGATTCTACCAACTTTTTCCCGGTAGAGCCGGTAGAGGAAAGTAGAATCTACCCTTTTGAGTAGAATTTTTTTCAAAAAACGAACACCTCTACCGTAAGAAGTAGTTTCTACCCAAACCTGTAGATCAAAAACGAACGCCCCCTTAGAAATGGGTCCGCCCGAGGACTTACGGACCTTTAGCAGTTTTATTTCATCAAAGACTTGGCCAGGAGTAACCTCGTCCAATTCAAACAAATTTTCGAGCTGTGGTGCTTGTGGTGTGCAAGGTGCTGTGGGTTGTGTACGCCGTTGGTGATTTTGTTGGTTCTGAGTCTGACTTTGTCGTGCGAAATGGTCTGCTAAGTGGTTTGCCTTTTCAGAGTCAGTCACTATGTCACAACCATTTGCAGAAACTAGATATTTTGCCGCATAATTTTGCTGGCTCATCGTCAATATTTTGCTTTCATTTTGCCAGGCCACTCGATATTTTGCTCCAAAATTTGTGTCACGTGTGGGGAAAACTGACCGAAAGTGGATGACGTGTTGGCAAAAGTAAGAAAAAGTGAGTCACGTGTTGGTAAAACTGTGCGAAAATGAGTCACGTCCACCGTATAAGTGTAAAAGCTCCCAATTTCCAGCGAACACACCGATATTTTGCTCCATTTTGCCAGCAAATTCCCTTTCAAATTTCTTCGATATTTTGCTAGCAAAATCGGGCTATGCCTACCGCCAAGATAAGAGTAGATAAACAAGAGTGTGCAACTCCGGATCTCTTCTGCACAATCTGCAGATACCTCCGCCCACGGCGGAATTTTTTGTTGACGTCACCTTTTTTCAGGGAAACGCGGACTTTGCCGCAGAGCAGTGTGAGAGCACGTGCTGGGCACCGACCTTGTAGTGCAAGCCCCGCCAAGTGCACGAGGGAAACCTCTCCGAAAGGCTCGCAGCGCGTGCGTCGTCGAAAAGATTACGTCAACAAAAAATTCCGCCGTGGGCCAACCCATCCGCGAGTTGCACACTCTTGTTTATCTACTCTTGCTACCGCGGATACAAGAGATATACTAGTAGTAACAGGAAAGTAACTTATAGTTGAGTCACTACTGTACAATGTAGGACCCCAGGAGTCGTAAAATACCGGTATTTTACGACTCCCTGGTAGGACTAGGGGTACCCCGGGTATAGGGCCCGGTGTAATATGCCCGAAACTTTGCCGAAAATGCTTTTTGGGAAATTCTCGCAAACCTTGCCGAAAATGCTCACTTTTTTGTAATCCTCAGCACACGCCGTCAAAACGACTCAAAACCAGGGAGTCAGAAAATACCGGTATTTTACGACTCCCTGGTCAAAACCATTATTTTCAATTCATAAACTGCATGTACTCAACAAAAAGCTAACCCACGGAATGCGGAAGTGACGTTCTTGTTTGGGAAGTTTTTCTTCTCTCAATTTTGATACACGACGGCCAAGTGCTCCGTTTCCCGCAAAATGCTGCATCACGAGCCCAAAGTGCTGGGTTCGCGGATTGTAGCGAAAATGCTAAAAAAAATGCCGGCATATTACACGGGGGTAGGACCCAAACAAAAACTGTGCTGGTTTACTTTGCTCTTGGTATGACTCGTGGACCACCCCACAAGCGATGGGTCGACAATATCAAAGAAGATTTCAAGCCTCTGAATGTGCCGATTCAGGAATCTGTCAATCTCGCCATCAACAAGCAACTCTGGTCAACGATCATTTGCAGATGCATTCCCCTTCTATGATTTGAGAACTATGACGGCAATATGCGACCTGTTCATATTATTACCATTATTATTGACTCGCACTGGGTTTCATCAATACAATTGTCGCCTCAGCTATCAAAGGGTGGGTCCTAACCAGGGAGTCGTACCGGGTCCTAAGTAAACATTCTTGCAAGTACTAGCACACTCATACTGTAGTCCATGTCAGACGTTTACACCATAGTTCCACTTCCATAAACAGAAATTAAGAAAATTCTAATCGCTGAGGAAAGGTTGTCCTAGTAAAAACACATAAAGCATTAGGGGCAGATGTGCCGAGTTGAATGTTCATACTAACTCATAAAAAGCTAATATTAAGCAGAAAAAGGAAATGAATGATTTTTCAAAGAGAAAATGACGACCCGACTAGGCATCGTAAAGATAGCAGATTAATCGCAACGCTTGCTTTGAGCACTCCTAATGAAACATAAGTCAATCCCCGGCTAATAGCCACAGGGCAAATGCTCAACAAGGCATGAAATAACAAGGTTCTCACAGATACCTCCTGCACCTCCAAGAGGCAACACTTCCACAACCGACCACCGTCACCAGCACCACCGCCACAAGCCAATGCAAACGCATACACACAAAGAATACACGGGAGAGGGCAACTGTATGGTACCCTGGCAGGAGTATCAACTGCCTGCCACCAACCAAAGATGCAGTATGCCCTGTGCACAGAGAGCTGATATAGCACCAGCAGGAAAGGCACACACGCACATATTCCGCGCTTTGCATCAACATCAGCATCATCGGACACCAACCTGAACAAGGGCAGAGGCGAGTCTAGGGAGAAAGAGAGAGAGAGCTCCTCTTAAACTCTGCCGGTGCCGCCAGCATGCCCAACACAACGCGGAGCAGGCGTGTCTCCAGTCACAATGCATGTTTGACTACACACACATATACACCACGACCTACACAAATCCAACTCTTGCAACTGCTTGCTTCATCGCGCCACGTTCACAGCCGCTTCATGAGGCGGTGGTGGGGCAGTCGCGAGCGAAGTGGCCAGACTCGTTGCAGCTGTAGCACTTCTTCTCCTCGCTGGCGTTGGGGCAGTCACGAGCAACGTGACCAGTCTTGCCACAGTTGTAGCAAGTGCGACCACCGCCGCCGCCACCACCACCAAAACCTCCACCACCGCCGCTGGAGCGTCCACTGGGGCACTCACGGGCAAAGTGGCCCGTCTGACCACAGTTGTAGCAGGTGCTGTTGCTACCGGAGTCACCAAAGCGGGAGCCACCACCACCGCCGCCGCCAAAGCCAGAGCCGCCGCCGAAACCACCGGAGTCACCGTCACGACCCCCGGACGCCGCCTCGTTGGTGCACTCGCGGGCAAAGTGACCCTCCTCGCCGCACTTGTAGCAAGTCGAGGTGCGCTGGCCACGCTTGGAGCAGTCGCGGGCAAAATGTCCCTCCTCGCCACATTCGTAGCAGTCTGCAATACAAGAAGAGTAGAAGAGACAGCACAAACACATAGAGGAATGCTAGGGTTAGATGAGTTGAGTAGCAAGCTTGGTACGGACATGTGCCAAATAAGTCAAACCCGTTTGTTTTGATTAGCAAAGGACAGTGCAAACACATATATTTGTGTTCTTTAAGTTGCGGGGAAAACTGCTACGCTAAGGAAATACATTCAAGTTTGACACACAGCATAACCGTGCACAGACCCGATGGGAAAGCGCTGAGGACAGTTCAAATATTATGGGTCAAGCGGGCGCAATATTCCCCTATCTGATAAGAGCTTGGCCACCATTGAGCAAGCTATCAGGTACGCGCATGGAGCTGCCAATAAGGTGCACACAAGTGGCACCAGGGTGACAGGGCTGCATGTCCACTTGCCACCAACGTAGGACTACACACTACCTCCCACTCAAGCATATCAATCCTCTTTTGTATTCTATGCGGGCAGTAGAAAGTTCAGCTTGGGCGTGTAATGGGCAGGGACTGGGACAAACAGCACTGTCTGGTGCACAAGACAGGGATGAGCATCATAACCTACGGCGTGGTTCAAAGTATAGACCGCCTGTTTCAAAAAACCGTTAGGCCAGCATCTATACAAAGCAGAATCTGTGATCACGTTGTGCATAAAAATGTCCGAAATTGAAAGTTTGTTTCGAATGCCTGAGAAATCTATGAGTAAAATTTGAGGAGCTGCCAGAGCAATATCCCGAAGAAAACTCTCAAAAAGCTCAAATGAAATCTAAATTGTTTCAAATGCACACTTACGCACAAGGTGATCACATGTTTAGATGCTGGCTAACGGATTTTTTAAACCAGAGGCCCATACATTTCAAACGCACACTAGTGCTGGACTGGGAAATTCGGCTCAAGGCTGGGGATCTGTGCTCCGCACAGAGGGGCTCATGATGCGTTCAATCTGCAAAACTGAGTTTCGCTTGGCGTACTACTGTCGTGGACATTGAGAAGACCAGAGAGTCTGAGACGGTGGGGTGAAGTTGTCTCCCAACAGAAACCTGCCTAGGTGTGTCCTTGACTTCCAACAGTACTACAATACTCAATAACCTCACTGCCCATTTACGCAGCTGCATTTTTTCCTTATGTGCACTACAGTCATACATGGCGGTTTTCCGCAAGAAATTATTTTCGGTTTTGTTGAAATTTTCGAAAGAATAGATTCGCAGCTGCATTCATTTTGCCATTTCGCAGTGAGTCTGGTTTTCAACAGCAACTTCAAACTGAACTGTGGCCTACCTCCGCTGCCGCCACCACCACCGAAGCCACCACGAGACTCACTCTCTGGTGCTTGTGTGCAGTCTCTCGCAACGTGCCCCGTCTTTCCACAGGTATAACAAGTCTTCTCCTCTGAGGGCTCCTTGTCACAATCGCGGGCAAAGTGACCAACTTGGCCACAGTTATAACACATTGGGCCTAGCAATAGTAACAGCACGAAGCGGAACAGTGCAATTGTAAAGAATAAAATAAAATGAACCATTGAAGACCACCGCATGCACATTTCGTCAACAGAAACACTGTTGCAAGCTTGGCGGATATCAAGAACGCTGTTCTCGGATTCTCAATCACAGCTTTGGGCTAACAAAACACGGAGTCTTGGTTCCATAGAGGATGCCAGAGCTTCACTAACTCACCTCCACGATCACGACCTCCTCGGCCACGGCCGCGTCCACCACCTCGACCTCGCGAGCTGCCGCCTCCTGTTGGGCAGTCACGGGCAAAATGTCCTGACTCTCCACATTGGAAACACTCTCCACTCGACATGACTGCTGCTAGCTAGAAGGTCAGACCTGATAAACAAAAGATAACCTCCGAACGAAAGCCGCTCTTTTTCACCAAAGGACTTCAGAGAAACGGCAAGCTGCATACATCTAGCTGGGAGCAAGAATGCACGCACACACACAAGGCGGTGAAGCACTGTCGGCGGGCACAAAACCTTTTCCCCAGGCCAGTCATGATTTTGCACGAAGCCAGAGGTGAAGATGACGATTCCCATGAAGAAGAAGGGGTGGCAGTGGATGGAGCTAGCTAGCTGGAGATGGGCCAGTTCAGGTGAGGACGGAGGCAGCAATGATTTTGAAGTAACGTTGTAGTTAGCTACACGTACGATCATCATGATCACTGGTCTAGACAGCACTACAGTGCGTTTTTTTATAATAGACTCTGAAAACCTTGAGAACGTACTCAACAAAGTCTCAAGGACACTTTTGAGAAAATGTCATGCGAGTTGCGTCACGAAAATCTGCGCGCGAAATTCGAAAAACCAGGTGTGACTCGTGGCATTTCGCCATCTTGTTCAGAGTGTCCTTCGACTCGAGCTCCTTGCCTCGTGGCCTGAGGAATCATTTTGTTGCTGACTGCTCTGTGGCCCTATTTTGCTTTTTCTCGAGTGTCTTTTCGTTCGTGGCAACTTGTTCTCTCGACATGCCACATAATTATAACAAAACGCGAACGGGCCATGGTACATGGTGGTGTCTGTTTTACAATTTGTTGCGAAGACGAGGAGAACAATGGCTGGGCATCGAATTGGCCCCAAGTATTCCATTCGTCATGCTACTGTTGCGTGTGGCGTCAGCATTTCCACCATGAACAGATGTACCAGGGATACTGACGGCGAAAATCAGCGTGCTGCGTTGGCCTTGTCTGTCTCCAGTGATGAAGGCAACGAGAGTGACAATCCCCGATGTGAGACTCGTGCCATGAAACCACTCAACCCTGACGGATTTGCTTTGGACTGTATAAGAAATAATTAACGGATTCTATGCTGCGAAGGAGGACCCAACACTGGACAAAGTTCCTGCTCGCTGCAGAGAAACCATCGACGATTTTCCAGACATGAGCAAAACTAGCTCTTGGAAATGTTGCGTTCCATGGGATTCCAGTGTGGCAAGACCAGAGGTATCACACAAATAATGATGGAACAGCACAGGATTGTGTCATGGCGGCATCGCTACCTGTGAGACATACCTGGATGAGACGTGGGTCAATGCGCATCACACAGGTACTAGGAGGTGGTACGACAATGGTGACATGAGTGTATAGGCAAGCAACCAAATGAAGCACCATCAGGTAAAGGCAAGCGCGTTATTGTTCTGCATACTGGTGGACGGGACAGATTCGTGAAAAACTGCGCCGATGTGTTCGTGACTGGAGGCCGGCGCCAACGATGATATACGTCGTCGGCTGTCCGAGCACATCTGTTCACTGTGTAAAACTGTCGTCACAAGTGCAACACAAAACACGGAATTATTGGGGCCGTTTCGTTCCTCGCTGGTCTTCTACTATTCGCAGATGTTGAACCAGACACAACTGTGACCTATTTGCATTGTGTGTGTTTGTGTGTTTGTAAAACTGCTCATGCTTCCTTTTTGTTAGTCTCTTTATGGGAGCTGTGTGAATTGCCTTTGTGATTTGTTGTGGTGTTTGAATTTTCACTGCATTCTTTCAGGGATCGAGGGAAGTTTCCTACATGCATGCTGGAATGTTTTGATTTATTGAGCTAATTGCAATACAGGATTTGAATTATTCAGTACAGTTTGCCACAGTAAGTCGTGAAAAGCCACGACTCACTGATTTCCTACAAAGGTTAGGAGAACTGAAGACAGCAGTGCACAACTGCACAGCCATGTGCATGTACATGTACGTGCATGCGCTGTGCTACAGTATAGACCCCTTTCCGGATCGCCGCGAATCTCTATGGTTACCGAGAAATTCAAACTTTGGTGGGCAAGAAGAACCACTCTACTAATTAGTTACTTTGTCTTTTTAGTTGGTTGGATCTATTTTGTCGTCCTTTCCTTTTAGTTTCAGCCATGGTGCAGACCTGTGCCGTCATAGGATGCACGAATAGGTATACGCGTGGCTGTGGAGGTGGTTTCCACCGATTTCCAACAAATCCCAAGCGCAGGGGACTCTGGATTGCTGCAATTCGCCGTAAAGAAGCTGATGGATCGCCCTGGACACCAGACACTGACGAGCGAGTCTGCAAGAAGCATTTTGTTCTTGGCAATCCGAATGCAAAGGAAGCAAAGGATGACGAGTCCCATCCTGACTATGTGCCGTCCTTGAAGCTCGGTTATGACTCCGCGAACCCTGAAACAGCTACGTCAAAAATCGATCGTTCTGTCCGACGTGAGAAGTTTACTGAGCTGAGGAAAAAGAAATTGGCTGATGCTGCAAGGCTGAAGCAGAAAGAAGAGGCAAGGAAGGCAAGCCAACGACATGGTGTTTCTCATGACCACTCGTACTTCGCCAAACTTCAACTGTCCTCTCCTATTTTCAAGGTAAGAAAAAACTTCTGACTGATTCTGTACGTTGAGTAATTCAAAATTTAGTTGTTTGTACGTTATGAATTTCATACGTTGCAATCAGCTTGTGCCCCTGATGCATCGATGTTGTACGATGCTGGAAGGTCCCCTTCTTGGAAAGGCCATGCACACTCCATTGGCCAGGCCAGAAAGACGTTATTCTTCAGATGCATTTTGAAATTTCTCTTTCTAGATGATGGTGTCTGGAAGAATTAAATTATTTTTTCGAGAATCATAAAGTGTAGGTGTATGTCTACTTGTTTGTTGCTCAGAACTCAACCGGGATGTCCAGTCTTCTGAATCTTGAAGTGCCAACTATTGCTCCTATCAAGGTGTCTACAGGTAAGGTGTCTGCTGTCTTGGCCTTCAAGTAGTGTCATATCTGTGATTGGTTTCAACTCTTGTCGCATGTGTACAGTAGTGAGTGAAAATGCTGCGGGTCCCATATTGGTTCAATAATTATTGTACGTTTCTAAGATGTCCTGACCTTGTGTAATATCGGTAGATTGTTTCTGATCCCTGTTCTTTGAATTGCACCTGGACGTCATGGACGAAACGTACCTAATCTTCTCCATTGCATCACTCCCATTTGGAGGGTTAGATGTTATGTGCCGGTACTGTGATCTCACTTGTCCCTGGTCAATTGTGACGTGATTTGTGTTATCTTTCTCTTCCATGTTCTACAGCATGTGGACCTGATGAACCCTACACCTCGGACACTGATCGTTTGGAAGAGGAATGCAAGAAGTTGAGGGCGGAAGTTGAACGGCTAAAGCGGCGTTGCGGGGAACTAGAGACTGGGCTTTCGAAGGCACAGTTTGGTGTGCACTGGATTGACGAGTCTGATGAGAAGTGTCGCTTCCTCACTGGTCTGCCGAACCGCTCCGTGTTCCATGCCGTCTTAGGTCATGTGCAGGAGAAGGCCGCAAAGCTCACTGCCTGGCGCGGTGATTCCACCAGTGACCCCAAGGACAACAAGCCTGGCCCTCGGATGACCAAGGACTTGTCCATTGCCAACCAGTTCTTTGCGACGCTTGTCCGGTTGCGCCATGGTATGTGTGGCGGGTTTGTGGCAGCCCTGATGCAAATGCCTGACTCCACGTTCAGCAGGATGTACTCCACGTGGATTCTGTTTCTGTCCCGTGAGCTGTCTCTCCTCTTCCCGTTCCCGTCCAGACAACTTGTGGACAAGTTCATGCCACCGTGCTTTAAGTCCAAGTTTCCGCAGACGAGGATTATCATTGACTGTTTGGAGATCCAGATGGAGCGCCCAACTTCTCTCCTGAACCAGTCGATCACTTACTCCAGCTACAAGAGCCGGAACACCATGAAGATTCTTGTAGGTGTTTCACCTGCTGGTCTTGTGACTTTTGTGTCGGATGTTTGGGGTGGCCGAGTCAGTGACAAGGTCATCACAGAGCAGAGCGGTCTGTTGCAGCTTCTGGAGAAGGGTGACAGTGTCATGGCTGACAAGGGCTTTGACATCGAGGTGCCTCTTGCTCTCCATGGAGTGAAACTGAACATCCCGCCAAAGCTCGGTGCTGATAGCCAGATGAGCGCCCAGAAGATCGAGAAGACCCGCCGCATTGCAGAGCTGCGTATCCATGTCGAACGGGCTATCGGACGTGCACGTTGCTACCGTGTCCTCAACACTGTGTTCCCTGTGAGCATGTCGAGTCTGTCGTCTCACATCGTGAAAGTGTGCTTCTTCCTCACAAACTTCGACGCCCCGCTAGTAAATTGAAGAGACATGTGAATCACTATATTCAAGTTCTATCTTCTTTTGTTCTCTTTATTATGGTCTATTTTTCAGCACACTATAATAATAATAATAACCACTCTTATTTTACTTCGGTTTCTCCAACAGACGATTCGTCTTATTACTGGAGCCGGAAGGGAGGTGCACAGTTAGAATCATTTTTCTGAACATATCGGAGCTGGATTCGCACGCTATCTTCACATGTAATGTAAATACAAAGTACGGCTACATGGCGCGGCGGAAGCACAGTGCTCCGGTCATGTAAAGGTCTCTGGTTCGAAGTAATATTTTCTGGAAGTGCCATAGCTTGTGAATATGAACGTACCAACTGCTGCTAGGTCACTGGCTGCGTGCGTGTTGTTTGTGGGGTTGTGATGTGATAAAGAGTGCATTGTCTCCACTCCCCACCGCATGGCAGGCGGCAAAGTGGAAATGGTGGCGTATGCCACGATCAAGCAAAGGTCTCTGGTTCAAAATACTATTTTGTGTAATTCCCAAAGCTTGTGAATATGAACATACCAAATGCTGCCAGGTCACTGGCTGGGTGCATGTTATTTGTGGGGTTGGGATGTGATAAAGAGTGCACTGTCACCGCGATTGTCACCGAAGCAAGTTGGTACGGGCTACCAGAAGTAGCATAATATCCAGCCAATATTTATAATGACAGACAGGTACAAGGATGTGTGCGATGTCATCCATAGAATTCCGCACAATAACAGAAAAATTGATCGGAACCGCTATGTACAGAATTAAGTTTCAATGCTGGGAACATGAGAAGGTTCCGAGCATATCCCTCGCAGAAGATGGGGCATTGCTGTACAAAGTTCCAAAAAATCTAGCGAAGCAAAATAGATTGAAATCCCTATGTACAGAATATAAACACAAAAATATTTTTTCTTGTCATTCATGACTTGTACTTTGAAAGGTACAGCTTGTGAGAGCACAGCTCTGGGATAACAAACTGCTCGTAGAAGGATGTTAACTTCATGAGCATGGTTTGCCAATGAGCGTCATCGAACATGATACGCTCTACAAGCACGCCAGCACATGTGAACACCACAAAGTCACACCACTTCACATCCATGACCGCCATCTCACCAATCACCTGGTCATAGTACTTGTGATTCTTGCATAAGTGGGCTGACCCGTCCGCGTGGCATTCCAAGAATGACTTGCCAGGGAATTGCTGGGCGATCCGAGTTGGCGTGAGGTTAACAATAGATGTGCCCTGGATGGAGAAGGGGCATTTTATTTCCAGGCAGCCACGCTCCACCACGCCGCTCTCAAGCTCCTCCACAACGATTCCATCAGAACTCGCACCAATGAAGTGGTAGTCACGATGGAGGCTAAGACCACACTCTCTTACGGTGATGTTCTTTCCATCTTCGAGTGCCACACTGAGGTACATGTCCCTCGCCCTGGGCTCATTCTCCACTCCCCATCGCATGGCAGGTGGCAAAGCGGAAATGGTGGTGTATCCCATGATACCGGCCAGCAGCGAGACTGGCTCCTGGGCTCGAGAGCGAACGATGTCACCAAATCGTGAGCTAGTTAGGCGCCCATGACGTAGGTCGAACCACCACGAGTTGTCTGTCTGGCCTTTGGTGAAGTCTTCCACTTCCTTTTGGGATACACCGTACTTGGACAGTGGTCCGGTATATCGACCAAGGGCATCTTCACTCGTTCCACCTGGAAGCCTGTCAGAATGGAACAGGACCAATGGCGAAAGGTCCTTGGGTTGGCTAACTGGAGTAGCAGCAAGTCCTGATGACTGGTCTTCGACTTCCCAGAAATGGAAGAACCCACAGTTCTTGGCTGATGCCTTTCCCGCTGCTAATGCCTCCTGCAAGGTGAGTGCGTCAGCAGATGTGACTTGGCGGTGTGACGGTGCACGGGGATCAAACTCCGCTCGCAGCTGCTTCCTCTCCACTTCATCATCAGTCATGCCATGGCAAGCTTTCACAAACTCCATATTGGCGAGTGGCTGAGGATCGACATGCTTCTTTGGAGGCTGATTCCAGCGCATAGGTTGTGACGTTTTAGACAACTCCACGGGTAGCTCCACTAGATTCCTTTTTGCAGCGGATTCAATGAAGAAGAGTAGGGCAGCAACATGATTGCACGCCTCTCCCAGCCTAACATAAACAACAACCGCACACGCACACCATGCACGGGAGACAACAAATATATGCCAACGTCAGATAGAGCTGTCAGAACTCATCACATCACAAACTTGTTGAACAAAGAAGTTATTATAACAATCATCTGCAAAATACATGTCACTACAAAGGAACTATCACAGCACAGGTAAGGAGGAAGAGTTATAATAGGATTTATCAGTGCCGCAGGTCAACTGTCACATTTGGACTGAAGAAAACACACCAACTCGTAGTGCGTTTCTGTGAAAACACTTACCCGGCAATACAGCTGCATTGCGCAGCGTAGACTTCACCAGTCTCAGTGTTCAACGACACATACACGGTGAGCGGTGTATCACACGACAAGGAATGGTGGACGTAAGCACGGAGATAGGAGATTGCCACACCGTTCTCCCCAGATGCAGGATATTGCTTGCTCCACACATTCTTCACAAAGCCATCGGCAAAAAATTGGTACGCCTTCAAAGACCTGTTGCCAACAAAATTTCCAAAGACACATTTGGAGAAAAGAGACAATATTAGGGATGTGCAATTCAGGGGTTCCCTAGCTGAATTCCTTCACTGATTAGACATTGATGGCAACTGATTCGAAAATGCTAGCTGACCTCAGTTACAGTAGGTCTTTCAACAAAACTTGACACACAGTGACACTGACTTTGTCTTGAGAGATTACGAATTCAAACTGCCTACTATCACAACGTACCCACACCGCCCATGTTCATTACTCACCTAAATGCCTTCATGCTCTCCATATCAAACGTCTTGTCTCGTCCATAGACCAAGTACGTCAATAAATCCATGAAGTGGAACCGCACCACAGCAGCACGAAACTCCTTGCACCAGTCTTGCACCTCGTTGAAACGAGGCAACGAAGACAAAGTGCCCCGAACGTCTTGAGTTATATACTGCAGTCCAACGGAAGCACCAGAGGACGACGCATCAGCAGCACCAGCCAAACCAATCTTGGACATCGACACCAAGCGCTCCACGATGTCAGCCTTCTTTGTTGCTCCAGTCAACCGAACATCCAGAAATTTGGCAATTTCCTTCAGTTCGGCCACCTTCAGCGTCGCAAGAGAAGTCTGAACCCCAACAAAATCGGCATCGCTGGCTTCGGACCCTTTTGAAAGTTGTTCAGCAAGGACAGCCAGTGGCTGAGGCAAGGGTGGTGGCTGCTCAGCGGCAGCAGAGTCAGGGATGACAGCAGACATTGTTGCTTCCTGGTTGAAAAATTACTTTCACTGCAGTTTGGGCTGAACTTCTTGCCCACCAAACATTTTTGCGCGTCACCCGTTGCCATGCAACGCGCACTGTGTTCTATCCGGAAAGGGGTCCGAAAAAGAAAAGAAAAAAAAGAATCAAGGTGAACTGTACTGGATTCGAACTCATGCCGGGCACCATGCAAGTGATGAGCTTTCCTGGCTAAAACTTCCATTTAAAAAATCAAAATCCACTGAAAACCATTTAAAACCGGATTTCCAGCCGAAACCCGGCCGAATATCTAACTTTGACAATTATTATTATTCCGACTCCCAAACTTAATTTTATTCGATCCAAGACCCACACAAACGCAGCTGTGAAGAAAAAATTTCAAATTTGGAATGAGAACAAACTAAAAAATCAAAATCGACAATGGTCTGTTATAAAAAAACGCACTGTAGTACCTGATTTAGAAATTACTGGAGTGGAGGAGCTCCGCAGCTTCCAACTGATGATGGAGTGTCATTCTGGTAAGTAACATTAGTTCAGTTCTCTTGTCCATGATTCTGGCCGCCGTGCTGAGTGGTAGATCTACATGATGTGGTGCAGCTACAGTCCATTTCAAAAATATAGACGCATGGCAGAAATATTTCAAATTTGGCTGGGGCTTTTCGAGAATTTTTTCGGAATATTGCTCAGGTCCTTCCCCCAATCACTCTCATAGTTTTGCGATCGGATCAAACACCCAATTTCGAAATTTTATGCACAAAGTGATCGCAGATTTTATGTGGTATAGATGCTGGCCTAACGGTTTTTTGAAATCACGCGTCTATATTTTTGAAACGCACTGTAGCTCATGACAGTGATGATGTTCGGGCATGCATTGGGAAGGACAGAGCTGATGTGATTTCCTGAGACAGTCAGTGACCGGTGGCATGTCGACAGTGGCTTCATCGATTGTTTTTGCTGAACGATACGGGATTATCTGTCCGGAGAGGGGGGCACAAGGGCTACGCGGTACGACACAAACTACATGTCTGATTTTGAATGGACTCTTGACTCGCACCGCTCATAGTTACAATCATTATGTTTATCAGGCTTGATGTTATACCTTTAGCTTAGGCACATGTACATGTGCCTCATTTACTAAGCACACCGAGTGCGTCCAATGCATGCAGCCGTTTATAAAATACTCCGTGTCACGGCTCAACCCTCATGCTACATGGTCTGTTTGCTGTGAGAAATCTTGTCCTTCACCAAAGTTTCGGTCATGGCTTACCCTCAGGTAAGGGATGGAACTAACAACTAAGGGCGCGTTTGATTGGTCGGATCCGGAACAGGATCGTTTAGAACAGGGGCGTTTGATTGGTCTGCACTGGTTTTGGAGTGTTCGGAACATGTTCTGACCACTCCAACGCTGGAGCAGCCAGAACAAGTTGCAAAGCCCAATGAAAACCTGACAGGGCCACGCAATGAGTTTAGTTTTTGTTTTGATTCGAAGCGATTCTGGCATATTCAGGCCTTCGAAGCTTCTTCTCCAGTTGTATTCGCTTTTCAAGTTTGTTTCGCCTTCGCTTCTTGAGCAACGTAAAAATTGTTGAACTCTGTGGACGTTTTGAAGTTCGC